AAGGTTGATTCAATAGAAAAAACATTCATCATAAGAATCAACTTGAGAACTAGCTAGAAATCTAGTTAATGTTTTGTTGTTAGTTCATACATTTGAACGGGTGTGCAACAAGGACGTTGTGTTTTAACCATCTTTAGTTACTTAAGACTACAGTAGAGATTACTCAAGATGTTTATGTAATTATTTTAGCATGCATTTATCATATATGACACGTCAGCGATCCGCTTGCTTGGTAGGTAGAAGTAAGTGTGTTAGTTCTCAACGTCATTCAATCCTTACCTAACAAGCACACGGATCCCTGACGTGTGCTTGTTAGGTAAGGATTGAATGTGTTAGTTGAGAGTGTCACGTTAACAACCTGTGTGCTTGTTAGGGTTTTTTGCCACGTCATCCATCCCCTAGTAGTATAATGTATGATGGAGATGAGATCTTATTTTATTGTACTTGTTGGCAAGAGCTATATACGAGAGAATTGAATCATTGTTGATATCTCTCATCTTTAGAGTTTATGTTTATAACTTTGAATGAACATCTCTGTAAATCCTAGTGTTACATCTGATTTTAATTAATGTGTGTTTGATTTTATCAAATATGTAAATTTTAACAAATAAATTATTTTCAATTTTCATGAAAATTGAATTGTTTAATCTTCAAAAAGTGAAAAAAACTGTATAATGTAACGAATGTGATAATAACAAGTAGTGATACATTTCCTTCATCACCAACATCTTTTAGGAAAATTGCATAGAACATATCTTTGTCATCACAGTGTATTCTCTAGCAAGTCATCCTCATGGAGATCAAAATCTTGAGCGAAATTGGCAAAAAAAGTATCAAGATAGTTGGTGCTCACCATATAATTCTTCTTGACATTGTTACTCTTATCGCATTTCCAAACACTATTGTTTTAATTAACAAGAAATTTATTCATTGACTTGGATCTATCATTAAATGCAAAATGTTGACTATTTTTGTCATTTTGTGAATATTATTGACATCGAATTACACACCAAATGTTGTATCATAAGAAGAGGATGAAAGAGATGAAAATATAATTTTTTTTTGAAAGTCATGAGTCAACAATGCACTGACAACTTTGTTGCAATTGATTGTCTCTCTAGCAAGACAATTGACAAAGATTGATAGGAAGTAGGCAATTAACTCAAGAGATGAAAATCTTTACTCTCATAATTTATCTTTTAATCAAAGATTTGAATGTCAATAACAAGATCATCAAATGCATCCATATGATCTTGCATATTTGTGTCATAATCTTTAATTTTGTAGCTCATCAGCTTCAATGAGACATACAACATGTTTTACAATATTTTGCAATGAAATAGTTGCTCAAGAATCTCAAACCATAGACGACATTCATTTGCCTTAGAATTTAAATTTGTAAATGCAATATGAAAATATTGAGGTCATGCTTATAGAAATATCTTCAATTATTATAAATTGACAATTTTGGCCTCAACTTTTTGCTTAAACCAATGATCTTAAGCTTCTCATTGACTTGTCTTTGTTAAAAGAGATAGTTATCACTCTCACAATATCTGACTACGTCCACAGGAATATTTAATTCTTGGAAAAACCTCTTACATTGCTTAAGTACATAGTTAAACCTCCCAATAGTGTCACCTCCTACGAGTGGCATCCTTCCATTAGTGACATGAAAGTGTGAAACCATTAGTTTCTAACGTATAAATTCGTTCAATAAGAACCGTATGTCACTGTTGGCAATAGTGACATGAGACGATTCAATAGTCACATTGTAGAGCTTTAATGACGATCATAATTACCTAAAGTATCCGTTCATAACTTTTGGATTTAGAATTATGTTTTTTTTTATGATTCCAGTGAGATTGATTCATGATTTTAACTATACTATCAAAAGATTGAATGCGTCAAATGTAAACTGCTCTTTTTATCATCTGCTATTTTTCCTTGACATCAAATATATGTCAAGTACATCAAATATTTGATGTCTTGACATCAGATATATGTCCAACAAGACAAGTACCATAAATACGTGGATGTTTTGTTTTTATGCTCAGAGCATAAGTTAAGGAAGTGTGCTTTGAATTTTGCGATGAAGCATATCTTACCGAAATTGATATCATTTTGCACATCATACAAAGATTGTCCAGGGTGGCGTTAGTGCTTAGTGTGATTTAAATACTTTGCGTGGAGATATTCCGAGTCGTGTAAGGAAAAATAGAAAAAGTCAATTTTTACTAGAATCTTGGGCTCCTCACCAGCTCAAATTTGAGCGGGTGCTTTAATATTCAATTGAGCCATATAACTCTTTGAGTAGTAAAAATCTTTGATATACAATAGAGTACATAAATCTTAAAAATCTTCTATAGTAGAAATTGCTGATATACATACGAGTATAGAAATCTTAGAAATTTTTTGTATTGGAAATCTTCTCATCATGAACATCAAACAATTGTAATTTCACTCATCATTGTTGATGGAAGTTCAAATTCGAATCGCCAAATGATCCGCTAAATATTTAGCGGATCTGCCAAACATGTAATAAGAATGTATCCACATGATTCACTTAATATTATCCAACCTATAGAACCAATATACGTCACTATTGGGAGGTTTAACTTTGTATCTTTGTTATGTTAATGTGCGACGAAACTTTCACTATGTCTTCTAGAAAATCAACCACTAGAGTTATTCCTTACACAAGATTAACTTTAGAATGTAGGTCAACTCATATGTTTATGAAAAACAAGATGTATATCAATCTTGAAGTACAATCCAAGTCCAAATATTTATATCATGTATATATGTTTTTTACTTAATCTCCGTGTATGACATGTTGTTTAATATTTATAAATATATGATAAATGTTATCATATTATATTTCTTACATATATATCATATTATCAATAAAAATCAAAGAGCATATATCTACAAAATACATGTCAGGATAATACCTTTACCCTTACTCCAAATGTATGAGGTCTCAAATCACAATGAATTACTCAACAATCGTGTAACAAGTTTACCCTCATTCTATATTTTTGTTGGGTTCATGAGGTCTCAAGCCATTATGACTTCCTTAACTATCATGTGACAAGTTTACCTTATGCTTTCTGTTGTTGTTGGGTTCATGAGTTACTGAACCATAATGAATTCCTCAACCATCATGTGACAAGTTTAGTCATATAATTTCAGTTTGTTGGGTCCATGATTTATCAGCGTTGGAGTTTTGGAGGGTTTTATGGATGCGTACTAGGAAATACAGTTCATTGTACGTTAGGTTACTCTTTCTACATAAATGCACATCATATGACCTTTGGGGAATAAACAATCTCGCCATTTGATGCAATACACCGGTAGTGCAATAACTACTTACTATAATGATTAATTACTCAAATGTCACATATGTAGATACGAAATGCAGTGCTTATTCCATTCTGCTTGGATAAATAGTAACTGTACTTTGGCGGATATTCAATTCTGTATCATCTTTATAGTTTTTCAATTTGATGACACCACGCCTGTCACACAGTTGTCCTATACTTTGATGGGTTTCATTGCGAAGGCGTTTATTCCTATGCACATAACCTCTACTTTTGGAGGTTCTGTGCATGAAACTGATTAGTGCAAAGGTTTAAATATATAAAAGGCAGTAATGAATATATTTAGTTCTTACAAGAGGAACGCAAGACTGGGTTGGCTCTTGTATAGACGGTGGGGTATTTTTCTTGCAATATGTTTAACGTAAATCGAGAGAAGATGCGAAGAAAGATAAGGAAAAAGACAAAGTGGTTTAGATATTCCGGTAGATGACTCTCGTACAGTACATCCTCTTATCGGTGATCGCTACGTCTAACGCCATTCTATTGAGTCAGGATATTTATTGCCAGTAGATACAGTGCTTATTCACGGAATCATGATGCAGCGAAGACATTTTAGGATGTGACGCAATCAAGCAAATACACAAAAATAGGCGAATATTAATTTATCGACGTCGAATAATAAGAAGTCGTGGTCAATCTCTCATAATTCCGAAAGATACCCCGTTGATGTCATGGATCTGGATGGCTCCGGCGTATGTTCCAACCTGATGGATGATGTGTATCTGCACATTCTCTGGGCGTTGGGCGAACACGAATACAGTCTTTCTCACAAATGATGCAGCTAACTGACCATGGATAAATGCCCTGATCGCGGGACCAAGGAGATGTATGTAATGTACCGGCCCACATACAACCCTAGCAGAGCTCCATAGTTAGGGACAGACGTCGGGACGCTTTCCGAAGAACTCCCAAACCAGCAAGTGGCCTCTGCACACGAGGCGCGGGCAAAAAACGGTCGTCAACCAAAGGCGCCTCGTAATCCCTCCCGAGGACGCGTACACCAAAAATTCGACGAAATGGAACCAAATGAACTTGGATTCGTCGCAGACACCAGCGACGAAGGTCGATATATGTTGTGAATATTATCGAATTAACTCGAAAAGGGGATTTTTATCGGGGACGACGTTGGGGGAGGCCCGCCCACAGTATCTGCCGAGCACACTTGTTACCACTCTACAGCTCTCGCTGTAGAGTTTGCATGCCAAACGAGTGGGACGACGAGGCCTTTAAATGCTGCACCAGTTCGTTGGCGACATATCGGAGCTCAACAGAAAAGCCGGCTTTTCTAGGCTAACATAAAACAAGAGCCTGATGCAGGCCCAGAGAAATGAAATGGAGGCGAGATTCGGGGGCCGACCGCAAAAGTTGGGACCCGGAGCCGGTCAATGCGAAGGGGACGCGGAACCAGGACGGTGGGGTAGACGGGGGCGAGGTGGAGCGGAATGGTGGGGAATGGTGGGCAATTCGGGGGAGCACGTAGTGGGTGGGGGCATGGGCGTCTTACCCTAACGCGGCTAAATTGGACGGGAGGACGGGCAGGAGGCGACCGGCGAGGGGCGATGCGCGGTGAAGGTGACCTCCAGTTGCCGGCCTGCGTGTTAGCAGCGTCCGGGTGTTGTACAAAGAAGGCTCGGGGCGCTCTTCGGTCTGGCCCTTGAGCAGCCTGCCCTCCAATCTTCGCTCGCTCCTCGACCCCTTTCGAGCCCCTCCCTCACCGCCACCATCCCCCGCCATCATTCATTCGCTCGCGCATTCTTTCATCCTCTCGGTCACTTTTCGAATTTGTCTCCGGACTCGCATCGGACGCGAGGGCGACGAAGAAGAAGACGACCAGAGGAGAGGAGGAGAAGACGGTGGCGAGTGTGAGGACGAAGTGAGAGGAGGAGGAGGAGGAGGAGAAGGACGGAGAAACGTGCAGGACGATTTTTACGATCGATTCGTGGGTTGATGGAGTGATCGGTTTATTGTACAGCCGAAAGCCGAAAGAAGAAGAAGAAGAAGAAGCCGCAGCAGCAGCAGCACTTGCCAAAGCAGCAGCGGAAGCGAGGAAAGGAAGCGCAGCGGAGCCGAGAGGAGAAGTGAGGAGTGAGCGAGAGCGATCGATCTGTGGTCGCTTGATTTTTGGATTTGAGAGAGCTTGTTAGTTGAGTTGGTTCGCCTCGCCCTGTGTTGTAGGCGGCCGTGATTCGAATTGGGATCTGGGGTGATGGGTAAGATGACAACGAGTAGGAAGATGCCTTTTAGGTTGGGTGTAGTTGCGTGGATTTGTGTGGTTTTGAGTTTTGTGAGCGTAGGATGTGTGGTGGCCGATGCCGGGGTGGATTTGGAGAGCGAGGTGGACACAGGTCTTAGCAAGAGTGCACCTCTTTTGAAGGAGATTGATAGGTTGAAAGAGCTCGTGGGGGGTTTGGAGAAGTCTCTGAAGGAGAAGGATGAGAGCCTGAAGGAGAAATCGATTCTCTTGGAGAAGAAAGAAGAGCATATCAATGTCATTGATTCGGAGTTGCTGAGTTTGAAGGCCGAAAAGGGATACAAGGATACCCTGAGTAAGCTCGAGTCGGAGTTGGAGGCGGCTCTGGTGAAGGCCAAGGAGCTCGAATCCAGTGTGTTGCAGGCTCAAAAGGAATCGCAGGAAGCTGAGAAAAATGTTAAATCATGGGAGAAGCGTGCCCTCGCTGCGGAGAAAAGCCTGAACGATCTGGAAGCAAAGCACGAGGAAACCCACAAATCCCTATTGGAGCAAAGGAAACGCGCCCAGAGTGCGGAGCAGACCCTGAAGATCGCGGAGGCGGCCATGCTCGAGGCCGAGACCAAGGCTCACACGCGCACGAAGGAACTGCTCAAAGTCACCAATCAATGGCTGCCTCACTGGGCTTCTACTCGCGTTGGCCAGTTGCAGGCGAACGCAGTGACGAAGTGGAGAAGGCACGCTAAACCTCGCGTTGAATTGCTCTTGAAAAGCGCTTCCCAGAAGGCAGCTGAAGCGCAGGATTGGGCCAAACCCCACCTGGAGTCTGTGAAGAGCTCGGTAGTACCTGCCGCCCAGCAACACTGGAGAACTTTGGCCGACTCATTGGGCCCTCATGTACAAACCCTTCGATCGAACACATTGAAGGGTTACGAGGTGGTTAGGACGGAGTACTTGGGAAAAGCCCAGGAGTACGTGAAACCTCACGTAGACACAATTGTAGAGGCTAGCCGCCCTTACGTGGGGATGATCCAGGAGCATACACGCCCTTACGTGGATCAAATCTCGACCTTGACAAAGCCGTACTTGGATCAAGCTCGCCAGATTGTGAATCCCTATGTGGAGAAAGCGGCACCGTATTACCGCGATGCAGTTTCAGCAGCAGTAAGGCATCATAAGAACCTGCAAGAGACCGTGAGGTCCAATCTGGCCAAACACGACCTGGGAAACTCTTTGGTTAGCCAGGAGTTGGTTTGGTTTCTGGCGTCTGCTTTGTTGGCACTTCCTGTGTTGACTTTGTTTCTGGCATTTTCTTCCGCATTCGCTGGGAAGAAGAAGCAGCCCAAGAGGAAAAGTACCGCCTCGGGTACTCAAGGCACAAAAAAGAGAAGTAAGAGGGACAAGTAGAAGATCGGGCCGAGAACGGAACATCAGTCGACTTCTGGACGAAGTGTAAGCCTCACTTCGTGATCAAGTAAGAACGCTTGTGCTGTTTGGTCTGAGAGCTGTTTCGGGTGCCGGGCTCCTGTAACTAAAATGTGAATACCGACTCCATTCGATCTACTGAAGGTTCAACCGGCACAACTTAATTTCACACCTGCCGCCCATTCTTGAAGTCTCGATGGGAGGTTTTGCAGCTGAGACTTTCGCATATCCGCTCTGAGAAACTCCATGAACTTGCTGGATTTACAATGGATGGTTGCGGATATATTTTGCTGGTGGATGTCCTCTCTTCATGCGAGAGCGTAGAGAAAAGAATTATTGAATAATTAGTCATCACAGACGAATGATTCGCTATGGCTTTCTTTGTCAGATTCAAGTGTAGTCTAGAATTACATTGAGCGGTCGATTCGATCTCTCAATGGCCAGAAGGTTATCATCCCACGATCTGTGACCTATTTATGAATCAAGATTTTACTTACAAGCAGTGGCTGCGGTTGTGTGATGGCGATCTTCTATCTGTGAAAATGTCGAGTATTGTGTTCCAATCATGCCCATTTTTCATGCGCATCAAGATCTATCGAAGCTTCCGGACTGATTCCGTCGTTTGTGATACTGGAGGCTCCAACCGTCCTTCAGGGTCTATGTATGCAAGCCCTCTTTGACGACGGAAAGACGACAATGGGTGATCAAATTCGCACATGGCCTAACCCTCTCCCTGTGCCGCACATTGACTTAATATATGGTAGGATCGTCGTTGTTGTGAATTATGTCGGTCGTTCTTGGAGTCCTTTTGGAGCATCTCTTGACAAACGCGAATGTTATTTGGTAGGAGATATTTGTCTCTAGTCAAATCGTATTGCTTGGAATCTAGGAGTGGCGGGTTGACTTGGCGTTACCTCTCATATCGAAGAAAGATCATGATACTGTGGGCTCCACGCAGTAATTGTTTGACCTCAGTCGGGTCTACTTGGTTCTCCCGGGACATCGTTTTAGGTCAAGTGTTACTAAATATAAAATGGTCCGAAAAGCATTCAAAGCGAATGCGGCATGGCCTCCACGTTATGGTGTTGCAGGTAGCCATCACATCAACCCCATGGGACATGGAAAGTGCCGGAAGTTCGTGGAGATGGGATGAGCGTTAATATCATCTGGAAAACCTTCGTTGTCTTGGTCAGAATACGAACGCTGGACGCCTGACATGAAATGTATTAGTATTGCGAAGTAATTTTAGCTTGGGTTGGTGAATAGAAAGTGTCAAACCTTTGAATGTGAACGCGTCGTGCAGATCACGTGGTTACATCATCATGTGCATGTGGTCATTTCGCAGTTTCAGCCACCTCGGAGGATGATCGGTCATTAAATCGAAGCGTGATTCAGTAGTTGATGATTCGCAGTTTCAGCCACCTCGGGGGATGATCGGTCATTAAATCGAAGCGTGATTCAGTAGTTGATGTCTAAACGGAAAGTCTAACGGGGAACATCGAAGTGTAAGTATGAATTGAGGTGAAGTCAACATAACAGTTTGACAGCAAAGCTTGTAATGATCCCCGGAATCCGCGGGCAGCTAAAGAATCAATTGTGAGTTGAGTGTAGAGCCACTTATTTTGTATCGGCCCTGTGAGTGTCATGTACATAATCGAAACAGTCGATTTGCAAACGATGCAAACAACAGGTCGAATGAAGAGAATTTGTAAAACGAATCGTCGACATCGAAACGTGACATTCTTCAAGACGAACGAATAACTTGCAAGAAAACAGATTTAGAGTTTTGCCGGAGTCGAAGGAAAATAACTTCAAGGTGAAAGATTCTGATTGCGGCAAACTTGACAGTTTCGAGCGGATTCAGTACGAGTTTTCGGAATATAACTTTCGAATTTCGTTCTCTTAAAATGCTTGTCTCGTTGCTGGCCTGAGTTTGTAGTTGTCTCCTTGGACAGAATAGATTCGAGCACGAGAGCATAAGGACCGTCGGCTGGAGTCGTCTTATCCTAGGCAATACAGACATGAGTGTCTTTCATGTCGATGAAAACAAATTTGAAGTAGAAATTTTCTTACTCACACATGGAAACACTAGAGAAAATCCGAGAGGTGATTTGTAGAGCATAACCAACAGACGATTAACGTAGGAAGAAAAATAATTAGAGGCAATAAAAAAGAACGTTTCAAAAGTGCACTGAAAGTCACAAGGAAGGCCGAGTCAAAAACCCCAGAAAATCAATCCAACGCCTGCGAGAATGGAGACTTCAATCTAGAAACAGCAAGTCTGAGATAGGGTCCACCAACTTTGTTCTTATTGACTTGAACCACAGAAACTGACATGATAAAATATAAGGTCAGTCGACGGTCCTAGCGATAAAAGGTCAACTGTCCAGACTTTCTCAAGCTACGAAAACTCACATTTGGTGACTCTTATCAAGCCTACTTCACTACTTGTCTCAATAGTAGCTAACTCGAGCACCGTGAGCATGAACATTGCGCCAAGTGAAAACAATGGCACCCTAGAAATGTACACGATTTCTCGACACCTCGAGTCTTCGTTCACTATTCGAATCATCGTCCGGACAGTGGCATTATTTCTCTGCACTTATTCCCTGTTCTAAGCAAAGAACGAGAATTTTCGCAGTACGGCAAATGCTGCCGATGCGGGAGATACAGCTCACAACTTGCTTTCTCCATGACTATACTATCACTCCGTATACATAGCTTCTCTTGCATGCAACTTCCTCAGAAAGCAAGCTGATATCGTTTGAGCAACAGGCACTTCTCCAGCCTGTTAAGAATGGTCATGAGCTTTGAATTTCGAATAATCAGACCAAAGTCCTCAGACCAAAGTCCCCGTGTCCAAAACAAAGGAAAGGACCATAGTCTATCCCATGTGTCTATCTCCGTCCGTTACGGAGTACCGGTAATTATTACTAAACCTGTCTCAATTTGAAAGGTTTAGTCTCAAGAATCTCAAGCTAATTCCTGCTCCACAAGAATGTCTATGAACTCTTCACTACACTGCAAAAGGGCGGCTCGGTGGCAAAGGGTGGTCTATACTCCTTCAACCCTCGTTGCGGTTCCGAACAAGATCAAGGTACTTCCGGATTCGGAACTGACAAGTACTTGGTCGGGAAATTTGTGAAAAACAAGTATTGATAAACCAGGTGAGGAATGGAAGGCTGAAAAACCTGAGGCTCAACCTGCAACATTCGTTTCAGAATCTCAGCGTTCTCCCGTATTGTACTCAATATTATCTTGCCTGCAGGTAGAATACCAAAGAATTAAATTTGTACACAACCAAATTACGCTACTCTTGACACTTTCTGAATTTGTCGTCAACTGCTTTCGGTGAGTATCGGGTTGGAAGTAAATTGTTCAAAACATAAAAAGTGGGATGATATTAAATTACCAAATGATCTCCAATACCTAGGATCTCCGTCTGAAATTATGGGCCATAAACAAGCACTCAAAAGTGGATGTACATTGGTCAAACCCTGGACTGAGGTCTCTTCAACTTATTATAAACAACCATCAACACACGCATTCTAACAGGTTCATCTTAGACATAAAGACGCCAACCGTAATGAGCAGTTAGGAGATACAGTTGTACCAACCTCCACTAGTCAGGAGAAGTTGTGCTGTTTCTGCATATTTCGCCCAGACCTCGTGTGTCACGAATGGTGGATCAATGACCACACAATCGAAAGTGTGGTGCAGACTTTCGTCAATCGCTAAGGGCTGATTGTAGTCCCATCGCACGTAGTTTGGGAACCCAGCCCATTGAGTGTCCACCTGCATGTGCCAAGCACAGGGCTTTGGTCAATGGATCAAAGAACCAACAAGCATCAAATTATTTCCACAGTTGAAGATAATCCGGAAAAACGAAAGAAAACCTAGAAGGTACATATATATCTTGGAGTATAGTTGCGATGGAAACTCGGCCCATGGAGGTAGTTTTTCTTGCCCACTGAGAATTATGTCTACTTGGTAAAGAACAATAACACAAAGTGCTACACGTTGAGGCAACGATGGCTTACATCAAAGAAAAAGCTGCGCTTTTTCAGTTGTCCATTCTTGAGGGAGAAGTAGACACTAGGGGTAGACAGAAAAGCCACTTTGGTGGCATTCTCTTCAATTTCCTGCAGTCAAGGTGTGAGACAGCGCACGTTAGAGGGGCATGTCAATGTTCTAATGTTCTTCAATGCAGCACTTCCGTAGAAGTTGAGAAAATGACCTGGGTATAATTGCAAAAACTCCCAATGCCTTGACAACTATGAAGTCTATGTCACTACGTGCTCTTCAATCTCCAGCATAGCGTTATGAGCTACATCTCTCCAAATAAACTGTGGCACTACTAGCGACATTTAAGCCAGTGAAGGTCGAGATGTGGTGAAGTTCAAAACTCAGCAAAGGAAAACGCAGATTCCACTGCGAACCACGTAAATCGCCTTTTCTAAATTTAGAATCTCGCGAGAAATCTTCGAAACAATCACACAACCAGACTAAATTCCACAGCATAGGTGGGGGAATGAAGTTCAACACTAATCAGAACACCCAACAAAATAGAATATAATACTTCGATTCGATCACTGAAATCAACAGGCAACATTTGCGGACGCTCTTCTGGAGATTGTTTTTACTGTTGACAATCAAGTGCCAAGTGGCAGATAGGCAATGGAGTTTCTCAGCTCCAGGCCTACTTTTCAAGTGGAGAAAAGAAACAGCTTTCACTGAACACTTCAGAAAGAAGAAGAGAGACCCGGTTTCAACAGGCCTTCATGTTCCTGTCGACTCGAAAGCTAAATCGCGGGCATTGCGATCTTCGAATTTTACTTCAAGGCGTAAGACGATACGGAATGCCATTCACACGAGCACAATGATAGAAGCCAGATAAAGATTCAATTCGAGTGACAGAGGTTTAGGTTTGAGAAATGAGAGAACCCAGACCTTGGCCATGACTTTGATGGTGTGGGCAGAGTACCAATACTGATTGAATTCCCACTTCTCCCTCGTACGCGCAACAAAGGCATTGTGCGCGGTGAGACTCTCTTCGCACACCATGATGTCGGAGTTTCTTCTCAGAAATCTACTAGCCACAATCCAAACTGGTGGTCACGGTCAAGAGTAGAAACAATCTCTCTTCACCAGCCCACCCAGCCTTCGTTATTCACCCACCTTCTCAGCATTCATCGCCAGACCAAAGCCACGGCAACCAACTCGACCCATTCTCCTCTCGTCAGAGAAGAGAACAGCTCGATGCCACTCTCCTCACCTCCTCAGCAGATCTCCCTCGCTCTCTCTGCTCCTCCCAATTCCTCTCTCCCTCGCTCGCTCGCTCAATCGCTCGTCTCCGATTTCCTCTCCCTTCTGTCGCCGCGCCTTCTCTTCCCTTCTCTTAGCTTCTGTTCGGCGGCCCGCTCCTCGCGCGCTCGATAAGCACAGCCCTTCTCGAATAGCAACAGCGTTTGAATCTAGACGATCTTCTCCGGCAGCTCCCGTCTTCCCATTCCCCTTCCCCTTCTGGTGTATCCAGTGAGCCCAGTGAACCCCTGATTTCGAAAACCGTCGCTCCACCGGTTCGGCACCCGCTTCGCGTTGGCCCGGAGCCGGCCGTCCCGTGCTGCGTAGGCGGCTCAGAGCTTTCCCCCGGGACGAACCGAACGGGTTGTCAGGGAGGCGGCTGACCGGAGGGCTTTACAGCCGTCTCTCGCACGTCTGATGCGCATCCGACCCTTGACCTCATGCTCCACGCATGTGCTGACCCGAAGGCCCCATGCACGTCTCTGTCACCCGGTTGATTCACCGAGGATGTGCCCTTCACTCGGTCCATGTCATCCGTGCTCCCACTATGACGGGTGACTTTCTACCGAGTGCGCTTGCTGCAGCCTCGGTGGAGCCTTTCACCGGCTGACAGACGACGGCGTTTCGACTGATAGTTCTCGTTCAGTTCCGTTACCTGCTCCCGGTCCCGGTCCCGTCTGTGGTAGTGTTAGGACAGTCCTGTATGCAGACTAGAACGGTACAGTACCTGTCCGAACTCGCGACGATGAGAACGAATCAGTAGAGCACTGTACCGAGACTGCTGGCCCCGTACGCAAGTGTACCGAGTCACCAAACTGACGTGGTGCGATGGCATCTGACGTGGCTCTTCGGTGGTAATGGGCACATGGGCCCGGGCCGTTACTTACACTGACAGGTCATCTCGGTGGCATTCGCTTCCAATAAAGCCGGAAGAGACCGGAAGAGCCCATCAACTGGTTCAAACCCCGAGGGCGATGCGGAGGGAGCAGCGCGACGTCACGAGGAATGTGGTCTGCACATCGAGAGATTGATGAATTGACTGTGGTACGGAAGGCGAGGTGTGCTGATCTGATCTGACTCGATTTGGGACCAGGGCCATTGGACCTACATAGTTGTAGGATGTGCGAGGGATGGTTAAATGGTCCTGGATTTCTTGCGCATTGGATGAATTTCCCTGTTTGATTGTAGGCCAGTCTTCGGTTCTGGTGCACACGAACCTGTTGTGGTAACTTTGTGTCGCTTACTGCTGTGTTCCGTTCGGTCCGAAGGACGACGTCAAGGTCTCTCTTTCTCCGAAGGATGAGCATTTTGTAGCAGTATGCTAGATACAAGAATGGATGAAGGAGTTGGCGAGATTTTGCTTGTTTCAATGCTTGTTTCTTGATTTGTGTGGTGGAGTTTTTGTTAGTGACGAAGGCATTGTCAGAATTTCATACGCTAAATCTAAATTTTGAGTTTGGACAACAAGAGTAGCAAGAATACTTGCTTCTCAAATGGGTATATCTGGCGTTCTTTGAAAGGGTAAGTTGTAGTTGGAGTTTTGGTCGTGAAAGTATTTGATTTCTTCTTCTTGCTCTGAGCTTTGTCGATTTTCCAACAAAATTACAATTGAATTTTGTTTTCATGAAAGAATAATTTTGAGGTTTCGGAGTTTCGGAAAATTCAGACCTTCGAATTAACTTGATATTTCCAAGGCGGCGATTACCACCAGTAACACAGTCAGAATCGGAATCGGAATCATCAGGTGATGGAGACGTAGTTGTGGCACTAATATATTGGCTGAACTGCAACAGAAGATGGTCGGAACGTTCGCATTAGAGGGATGCAAGTACCAGATCACCACGTCCAGCTCCAGAAATCTTCCTCGTACTTTGGGCAAGAAATTCGGATCCTCTGCTATTTGCAAGGATCCCACTCTTTGTAACCGCCCTCTGTCGACGAGCACAGCATGCACATCGTCAAAAGGGAAGTCAGTATTCTTCGGGAGCAATTGCAATTATAAGCGCAGAAGTCCTGGAACCTTTTGTGAATCATTTCATACTCGACTTCCGATCATGGTGTCTGCAAGCAACTCGACATCACAGGTGCCACTCACCCACTGAGCTTTCTTCCCTCCAACGTTCATTCCTCTACCAGCAGTGTGATGAAAATATGGGAATTTTCCTCTTTCAGTGAATGAAGCCTTGGAGTTGATGGAAATATTTTGGGCAATCTCTGTAACTTTTTTGCAAACTTCAGCCATGTTTTTAGTCCAAGTGTCCAGAAAGTGTTTTATAGACACGAAAACTTGGCTCGCTCCTTGACTTGGACCTAGATCGAAGAACCCCTTCATAGATCAGGACGCGGTTACTTTCTGTCTTTTTCAAATGGGTGTCAATTTCCGAATTGGACTTCGTGATTGTGCACAGAAACATTATATCACCACCCTCGTATCCATGTCCACACGAAGTCATCGAAATTGTGAAGATCGATAAGGAATTCGATTTCATCACTCACATTGAAGTACCGTGTAATTTGTTCACCTGTTCAACACTTCTCGTCTGCGCAGGCCGTGATTCCTCTTTTGCGGAATTTACTGTCCGGGATAGTAAAGCCTTACTTGGAGAAGAATCCGACTGCCGTAACAGCATTGCAACTGATACGAAAAGAGGATCCCGGGCCTGTCTGTTACGATCATTTTGCATTTCGAACTTTTGGGGTCAGTTTGCCCGTACGGGTTTCCGTCGATCATCTAAATCTGCTGGACATCACCTACTTAGATTCTTACCTGCTGTTGCACATGTTTGCGTTGTAGCAAAATGTATTCGCTACCTCATGTAGCATGTATGATGGATAAGGACCGATGGCGATGGAAGAGTTATAGTACGTATTGTGGACTTCCTATCCTGGTTTCTTCCTTCTTATTTCTTGTTTTCCGAGCAGGTGGATGGTTGTGGAATAGATTCCATTGCTCAAGTATTTCTCGATCTTGGCTACAAAACTCGAGACGAGCTTCGTTTTCCAGCCAAAAAGCTCCGTGCATTGTGGTTTTCTCCACCTGAGCATCTCTACGGTGTGGCCGGGGAGCTGGAAAATGGACCAGTGCCACGCATCTTCATCTCGGAGCTCTTAGTGGATCAACTCAGTGAGAAATCTCAGGTTTGGCAATGTTTCTAAAATGTAATAATTGACATCTCTGTCTAGTAGTTTTGACACGTAAAGACGTCCTGCGTCATCTGTGCAGACATGCTCAGGAAGGACTGTATCCTGAACCATTTTTCTAGACAAGCATTTAATTTTTCTAAGACTACAAAATTCCTTGATCTGGGTGCAAATGTTACCAAGTAGGAGAGAGTTTGTGGCAGGTCAACCTGGGCTGTTCAGATGAAATTATTTGAGATTGAGATTGATTTACCTTGAACAGCAGTGAATTTCGTACTTGTTTACAGAGCCTTCCATTGAAATATTGTCCTTGATATCAAATTCGGTCTTACTGGACCTTGAGGGATATTTTCACCTGTATACGTATATATGATCACTTTCGGTGACAAGAATTATCTTCGTTTGGTGAATGCCCGCAGAGTATCATTCGCAAGTACACTAAGGATGCAACTCAGTGTGCAAGACATGCAGCGGCCGCCAGTGTGCTCAATAGCTTGACCTGGCCCACTCCATCTTTCGCTGACTACCAACATCTTGCTAGGTCTTCTCAATCTGCGATCCTCGTGATCGTCTCTACAATTTATTTCATCTTCGATATAGAATTGCTCATGATTGATTTGCATTTGATTGTCAGAAAATGCTGGTGCTCTATGAAGGCCAGTTTGACGGGATGCATCTCAGGTTTAGGATGAAAGTCTTGACTCTAACATAGATTAATCTGCGAATGTTGCAGTGAAAGTGAGTATGCAGCATGGACCCTAGTGAACGGCTATTCACTGAATCATGCCACAGTTTCAGTACACCGTTTATCGCAGATGTGCCATATCAGTAAACTCAACGAGTTTCTCCAAGAACACGGTATCAAGCTCAACTCAGAAGGAGGCATAACCAAAGGTACGTTCAGCTGATCAACTTGATGTAACTTCATCATTTATTTTCCCAATTTGCTCATGTTACGAGAATGTTCTCAAATCTAAAGTCTTTTGAGATCCACATAAGACAATAGATCGTGTGATGTTCTTTCGTACTCGACCAGTGATGAGATTAAGCGAAAGTGAACTTTCTTTTGGCATGAATGATTTGCATGCCTTCAAATTTCAAAGTTATCTTTCGTCTTTACAGCCTTGGGCATTGTACCTGGGAACAGGAGGGCACTTTTTCCTCACATCTACCGAGTCTAAGAAATGTACGTCATGTTTTCTGGCTGGTGTGGCAGTTAGCCCCGATGGTGGCTTACAACAAAGCTCTTCTGTTGCCGACTCTGTTCAGTACGCGTTTGCCGATGGTGAAGTGAAAAAAGTGCCTGGATCTTACATTGAGTTTGCGGAGAGACTTGTTCTTCCTGTCTTTTCTTCTCTCAGTGATGAACAGGTCAGTCTTCCTTTCCGCAACATTTAATCAATTTTCGAAAGTGTTGCTCAATTTCGGCCCAATTTCGTGTGTCGAAGTCACATTTCTGATATATTCACTTTTCCGTTTGCTTGGAGCATCGTTTGATTGATGAGTTCGTTCTCCCCTCCGACATGCGTTGACTTTTTGTCCATCTACATATTTGTTTGCAGATTCAAGAATGTCATCGCAGAGAGGGATTTGAAGTTGGCAATGCGGACAAGATATTCGAGAGTACTTCCTCAGATCAAATGAGCTTGAAAGGTTAACTTATTGAGAGTTCTTGAAGGGTTACGTAATACTTCGTGACTCACCTGTGTTCTCATGCGGAAGAAAACATCTGTACATCGACGGTCTTGACATGTAAATACAAATTTCAAGACTGCAATGGACAAGAAAAATGGATGAAAATTTCGTATATCAAACACGCTTTTCCTGGTAGTCCAGCTGTACAGTAAAGCTAGACACAGAACTTGTGGTACGCGACAGACGGCATGAACATGCTCACTTTTGATGCATGTGCAAAGAGTCCACAATATGCACATACCGGGAGAAGCCAAATCCAGAGAAATCCAGTCAGCAATTACAACCCTCTTTAGCGATTCGCAATTGCTGAATAAATGTAGTTTCCTCAATGCTCCAGGTGCATGTTAAAAGCTAGAGAGATGAACATTAACAGTATTGACTAGGAACCTGGAACAAAAAATTGAAATATGTACTTGTTTATAAGTTTCACCTATTACTGCATTTTCATATCGCACCATTTAATCTAGCACGAGATCTAGACCTAGACGCCGAAAACAGAAGTCCATACTGAATTCCCAGATATTGTATGTTCTTGTTCACCCAAGCTATAAATTCGAACAGTGACTGTTCTTCTCGCTCAGTATTCCATTTTGGAGATTTGTGATTGTGCTCGTTAATATATAAGTCTCTGACTAAACATTCAAAACCCCGAGGTGATGACATTTACTCTTGGAAAACTAGACGCTATGTCGTGACTCTGGTTGAACTCGCATGGTAGATCGGTTCAAAACGGTAAAGCAGTGACTGTGTGTAGTGAGACGTGTCCTACGTCTCGGTTTGAGGATAGACTTTGTTCTAGGACGCGGTTTCGTGACACGCTTTGGGCGCTTTTTCTTCCAATTTTCCAGAACGTGTGATGAAAAATTTAGACTTGGTTCACATTCCTTCAGTCTCAAGGTTGTGCCGCCTCGATTTCTCACCCCTATGTAAAAAGCTCCTTGTCCGTGAACTGAGATAAAACGGGCCAATCCGCTCCCATTGTACGATGGGATCTGTGCAGATCTCACATCTAGAAAGGAAGAGGTTTTAATATGCGATTTGTCAACAAACGGTGGACCCCCTCATGTCGAGCAACCGTGGACTGCAGTTCAGGACGCACCTTAAGAAGATGTACAATTCTACAAGTCAAAACTCCTTCTAAACTTATTTAGGCCTTCAGTACCGGCATTATTCCTATAAGTGGTCTTGGAAGTCATGAAATATATCAGTGAATCATATGTGATAGATTCATATTGTTTCCTGATTCCAGTCATGAACCTATATTTCACATTGGAAAGCTGCCAAGTTCATACATTAACATTACCAGTCGATATTGCACAGATCTATGTAAGAAATGTTGATGCGACAGTTCTTACTTACAATTATCAAGATGGTCGTTGTGATTCTTGTGGAAAATGCTAGAGTGCATTTCCAGTATTGTTTTTTGACACGATCCTACAAGCCTAGTGGAGAGGGTTGCCAAGTACATAGCTTTCATCATAAGAAGAGCCGATCAAGCTGTACAACGATGAACATAAATAGTACCCATGGACTAGTATCCTATGACAATGAAAAGTATGTCATATATCATCTTTGATTGGGATGGATTTTTAATTTAGAGCATAAAACTGTACACATAGCTATGTAAATACATTGAGTATAATATGCTACACACTAGCCAAAAGAAAATAATAAGTTTGTAGCACACCACTCTGCCAACATGTGATAATAAGGGTCTAAAGATTCATATATTCTAATGCTAGAGTGGCTATGAGTGAGTGTATGTATGTATGTATACACATTTTTATATACACAAAATCTCCAATTATATATATATATATATATATATATAATTGGAGATTTTGGTCTCCACTCACTTATAGCAAGGAGATGACTAATCAAAGCTCAAAAATGTGATGCATGATATATATATATATATTTTTTTTTTTATATACACAAAATCTCCAATTATATATATAAATAAATAAATAAATATATAATTGGAGATTTTGGTCTCCACTCACTTATAGCAAGGAGATGACTAATCAAAGCTCAAAAATGTGATGCATGGAATATAAATAGAGATAAGTATCATGTCTAAACAAAGACATGTTTCCCAACCCTATAACATGTTGTCCCTCATCCTACTGGACTCCATGTGAAATGTGCATACTCATGTTGTGTCTAAGAAGTCACGTGAGGTATCCATTTCATTCTCAAGTATCATCTCAAGTTCCTCCTTAGTTGCTTTTTTGGTAACCAGACTCTATATTGTGAAGAATTAGTAAATTATACAAACATTTGCTGAATCTAAGGTGTATTACCATTGCACTTATGCAATGAAGTTTGATACTCCAAACCAAGGTAGAAGTAGAAAAATTAGCCAAAGGCCAATAGGTCGAGTAACTTAGTCCCGCTGTGCCGATACCTTTCACTTTTTCTAAAGAAATATTCAGATCTGACGCACACGGTGTACAAGTGAATAGATACATATATTTAGCATGGATACTGCGACATAAATTTGCCTTTTCGCTCTTACTCTGGCTGGTGTACACGTACTGCATTCTCACATAACTTGCAGGAAGCGGGGGCAGGAAAAGCGAAATTGATGCGTGACCTCCAATCGAAATTGATGCGCGTGACCTCCAATTGCAAACCGTGTTAATTTGGCGCGGCGTCTTTGCTCTCTGTGTCGCTGTGTCTCTTGCCCTTCTCTCTCCTGCTCCTTCTCCTTGTCTCCGATGGAGGAGGCTCGCATCGATCGCATATTCTGGAGCTGAGAGAGTCGAGCGCTTCTTGTTGCAGCGGTTCTCGCTTTTGTCTGCCGTTTGGATACGAGACCAGCTTTGGCGTTAGCTCTCTCGCTATCTCTCTCTACCCAATTCCTCGACGACAGGCACAAGGGGAGAGCAAGGCAAGGCAAGGGCAGGGCAGGGCTGCAGGGGACGACAAGGTTGGAGAGAGCACGCGTTTTGCGAGGGAGATAGGGACGAAGTAAGGCAGGAAGGAAGGAAGGAAGGAAGGGTGAGAGCGAGGGGTTCAGTGGGTTGGCCGGACTTCTGAGCCCACCTTCTCTGCGAGGGAGGTTTCCTGCAGGCGCGAGATCTGGAGATCCAGATTCGAGGTAGAGACTTTGATTTTTGCTGGCAATTAGTGTCTTGATTGGCTCGTCCGTGGGGTTGGTTCCGCGAGGTTTTCCTCGGTGCAGTTTGGGGAGTCTTGCGGATTCGGTGATGAGTAGAGTGGACAGGGGCAACGGTGTGAAGGTTGTGGCGAGGTTGCTGGATTTCTGATGGTGGTGAGAAGATCGGAATAGAGGATTAGTTTGAAGCAGGCAGAGATCGGGCCGGGCGGATCGTTAGATGAGCGCTTGGAAGGACGTTTGAATCTCCTGTCGGATCGATCGGCTGTTAGATCGAGTTGCCGCGGTAGGCAGTTCTTTTTGACTGAGGAAGTAACGAGGGGCACTTTTGCAGGGTAATACAAGAATGGGGGACTTGGAGTCGCAGGGCAACGAGTTTGAGCAGAAAGCGGAGAAGAAGCTGAAAGGATGGGGTATTTTTGGGAGCAAATATGACGACGCGGCCGAGCTTCTGGAAAAAGCGGGAAACTCCTACAAACTTGCCAAAGCTTGTGAGAATCTTTCCTCTATCCTTCATCTCTCTCGACAGCCGCATCATGCGAGCGATCGCTCAAATTCGTAAATCTCGCATGTTACTCTCCTTGATCCGATGGTCCCTCTGTCAGGAGGTTACTCTTTCGTGCTCTGCTTTGTTTGCGACTGCAACATTCACGTAGGCTGTTTTCTCTGCACACATGTCTGGTGTACTCTGTTTCGAAATTGCCCCACTCGCTACAGTGGAAATTAGGTCACAATTCTTGATATGCCGCAACGTGATCTTTTCAGGGGATAAAGCTGCTGCGGTCTACATTAAACTTGCGAATTGTCATGCCAAGGTTTGTTTCTCTGGGTCGCCGGCCCGAACCCTACAATTCAGAAGAGATCGTTTTGTAAATAGCGTGCATGCTGGTGGTCATGTCGTGAAGTGGGTGTCTATAGGTGAGCAAACTTAGAAAATCCTGTCATCCTCTAATGTAGGAAATAGGCACCTCTGACATGATGGATTCAGCGATTTCAGTGTGATCTTAACGCTGGATTCTGACAACAATTTCCCAGCTCCTTTTGAGCGTCTTTGGGCTCCCTTCTGTGTAGAGATCATACAGGAGAGATACCTTCTATTTGTTCTTGGACACATCATACTGTTTCCCACGGTATACGACTCTCCATCTGCATTTCGAGTGTTTCGAGTCTGGTCTGGTTTCTCACTGCACCTTCATGGGATCGTGTATTTCATGCAGACTTAGGTGTCGATCATTGTGAGAAGTTTACATTTTCTGCACAGATAAAAGTGGAGAGATTGTTGTTATTTTGTGTCATTCCCACCTACTTATTGCACTGATCATTCACTTTTTGTGATGCCAATGACTATCATTGACACTGTACCTATGAAAATCCATATTTCCTTTAACCACAAGATCTGTCTACCTCTGTAATGACTGTCTCTGTAGTAACGACTCTGACTGCAAAAAATTACTGTGAAACTAGAATAAATATTCTAGTTTCACTTTACTGAAGGAGCTGCTCAACAACAGGTCTTAACCCATCTTCGAGGCACTAGGCAGGAGCTTGGATCCGAGAGTATGCTGTATGCAACTTTCCCGAGGCGCTTGTTGGGTAGCCGAGTTTGGATATGGTCTTGGTGTAATTGGTAGACGTTGCAATATTTTTCGGGCAAAGTTTGGTCGTGAAATAACTGTGTTCTCCCAGAAAACCGCAAGTTTCGACGATAAAATACTTTCCAACGATATTGTGGCTGCAACTCACGTCCCTTACGTCTTCTTTATAGCTGTGAATCTTTTATTTACGAGTGATCTTTGAATGCATTTACTAAACATATTCTCCTGCTTGGTTACGTCAGTAGAGTGTTACCTGTGGTAAATGGTAAATGGTAAATGGTAAATATGAAGAATTATACGTTGTTCTGATAATGTTAAACTCACTTCACTTTCAAACTTCCCCTGCTTGGTTACGTCAGTAGAGTGTTACCTGTGGACGAATATGAAGAATTATACGTTGTTCTGATAATGTTTAACGCACTTCACTTTTAAACTTTACCTTTGGCCGCACAGAAATGACATAATGATTACAGATGTGAAGAATATCACTCTCAAGGGGTCCGTTGTTTATTTTTGTTAGTCGGGCTTCCCTTGAGGCACACACACTCAATCGTACATGCTTGATCAGCAGGTGCCGTTGATCATATCCCAGATGTCCTTCTACATCGCTCGAGAATAACCTCTGAGGGGGCTTTTTCTCTGAACTCAGCAATATAGACATCTTGGTTTTTTTTTCGTGGATATTAAATTGTTCTGTCGTTTGTCTTTACAGCTTGAGAGCAAACATGAAGCAGCGACTGCATTCGTCGATGCTGCCAACTGTTACAAGAAAACTCAGCCACAAGGTGCGTGTGACGGTCTTACCTCGGGAAACTAGTTTCGTCAAGGAAATACAGTGTCTTTCTCAGCGCTTAAGTTACATTTTATATGGCACGAAGGTTCTTACTTCATCTTCGGATCTTCATCTTCGGATGTCGGATCTTCAACCAAGTGTCTGCTGGACGGACACTATGAGCAAACCCCATGGGAAGTCCTTCAGACGCTTCAGTTTTAGGAGAAGTAAAGTGGTGAAGGAGTGCAACTGCTCAGAATTGCCGCGTTTGTCCTGGTCAATGCATCATCCGCATTTGGTTTTTGTTGGCCGCCGAAAGGATCCTACGTTCGTCTGTTGGCCTCTGTTGGTCACAATTCATGTACCTATATCCTCTCCAGTTAGTGAATGAACCTCTCGTTTCTGCGAGTTTTTTAGGTTTGTTGTGATGTCTAGGACTTATATTCTCTTCAAACCTTGTTCGTTCAAGTGTAACTGTCTTGTGGTCTGATCGTGGGGTATTCATTGTATCGTCTATAACACCCTTGGTTCCACCCGCAGAAGCAATTAAAGCTTTGAACACTGGAGTTGCTCTGTATATGGAGATTGGACGTTTGTCTATGGCTGCGAAATATCTGAAGGTGGTTGCTCTGCCTCGCCTTTCCTTTTGACGGTCCTTTTTTCTTAAGAATGTTCACTTTTCTTGAATTGACCCTACAGGTTATCTCTGTTGTCCAGCCGCGACTACCGTGAAAGAGTATCGACATGTGAAATTTCTCTCAGTATTCGGACAGTGTGTAACGTGGTATAGTTCATTTTACTAGGACATTGGAGATATCTACGGGAAAGAAGAGGATGCCCAAAAAGCCATGGATTACTACGAGAAAGCGGCTGATCTGTACTCTGGTGAAGAGGCCAATAGCACCGGCAATCAATGCCGGCTCAAGGTGGCCGAGTACGCTGCCGAACTGGAACAGTGAGTGTTCGTCTACATCCGTTGTATCTTGTTCTTCAGAATTCTTAAAGAGCGTGGAATAGATTCATGATCGTTGCTCTTGCATACTGTCTAGGTGTAATCGTGGTTATCACATAACGCTGTATTTTCAAAGTAAGATCATTCTAACAGTTTTTCTCGTTGTCCTTACAGATACCCAAAGGCTATAGAAATATACGAGGTGGTTGCTAGGCAGTCCTTGGATAGCAATCTTCTCAAGTACAGCGTAAAGGGTTATCTTCTGAATGCAGGCCTATGCCACTTATGTGGCAGTGACATCGTTGCTATACACAATGCTTTGGAGAAATATCAGGTCAGTCTTTTACTCGATTATGTTTATCTGTAAGTCATTCCCTTTCCATTTTATTGCATCTTGTCGCTAAGGCTGCGATATTGATCGAATGAACTCATTTATTTCTTGGTTGCTCCTGGTTACCTGCAGGATTTGGATCCAACTTTCAGCAATACACGGGAGTGCAAGTTTCTAGCAGTACTGCTCATATCCATCCTTTACAGCTTCCTTTGTTGTTGACCTAGATATTTGATCTGAGAATGTGTCAGAAGTATGGTACAGTTTTCCTTTTCGGTGGTTGAGCAATGTCTTATATCAGCTATACTGTAGACTGCAACTCTTGGGAGAGGCCAGCAGTTATTTGACTGGTTTTGTAATATGCAGGACTTGGCAGCCGCAATAGATGAGGAGGATGTTGGAAAATTCACTGACGTTGTAAAGGAGTTCGACAGTATGTCTCGCCTAGTAAGTTTTCTTAACACTTCAGCCGTTGTCTCTTGAAAATGCCATCTTTGCCCGGTTTGGTCATCTATCAGGACCTGGGCAGCTGAGGGCCGGGAATATTTTGCACCAACAGGCCTCTGCAAATGAGAAGTCATAATTACTGTCGGAAGACACTCCTGACGTAGTCGTACTGGTTGTTGATATAGGACCAATGGAAAACGATGCTTCTTTTGCGGGCCAAGAATGCCCTGAAGGCCAAGGAAATGGAGGAGGATGAGCTGACATAATGGAGATTGGCGCAAGGCGGTCGAGATTATATCTCACTCTCCATCTTTGTTATTGGCTGGGTTTGGCTGTTCCCTTTGGTTAGAGACGAACAACCATTGAGACATGTAATTGTTGTGCTAGACATTGTTATTCATAGTGTGGAGGAGTAGGTGTCATGTTCCCTTCCTGCTTTTGGCTCGAATGGAAGAGCTTAGTGTGTTTGTAAATCCATAAATTATCACAACTTCCTTTCTTGATGGAATGTGTAGCTCCTTACTGCAATTTTTAATCCCACCAAGTCCTCTCTTTGGTGGCATGGCGAATCCTCTTCTAGGAGCTCTGGGTGGATGGAGGTTCTTAACGTTTTGTAGGTCAATGTGTGCTAGTTCTTGTCTATTTTGACAGCATCCTGGACCTCTTTCTCTCATCTTAGTGATGAACAATAGGAGGATGGTAACCTATCCCGTGTATCAACAGCGATGATGTGCAGTAAAGTAAAATATATAGGAATCCATTGTTTGATCATTCCCTAGCCGTGCCACGTAACTTCAGTTTGTGGGGCAGTTGAAGTGCAAAATAGAATAATTTTGCAAGCTGGATCCTGCTTTCATGAAGTTGGGATTCTTAGATGAGAAAGAACGTGTCGTACTCTTCTAAGTATTAAACCCACAGTACGAAAGAATGGACTCTAGTTAAGGTTGGACACCAACCGTCCTTCACAGCAAGAGAGTCAAGAGCACGCAAAGCTGCTGCACGCCTTCCGTAACGCTTCTGATTATTTGTAATACCGCGAAGAATATATAAGTATGTCAGTGTGAACGTTGAGCTGGGCTTTATGGTTGCTGATTTGTTTTTGTGAAATAGGAAATATTTGGTACTTGGATATCAATTCCAGTAGCATAACGTGGCGGGTCAGTTTACTACTAGTTTACTACATTTCAGTTATGAGTCATATGCCCCCGTGGACCATGTCATGTGGACATGAGAAAGTGTAAATTTGAGTCGATAGACTTTCAACATTCCGGTGACTTTTTGATCGCAACAGGAGCTGGATTCTTGCAGTGCTGGTTTCAATTCTTTCCCTCTGCTGCCTGCTTCTAAATGCTCATGCTTTAGAATCAGATATGTCGCTTTATCGAAAACGTGGAAGAGGTCAAAAGCAATCTTTCAATTGGCAATATTAAACTTGGTGCCGAGAGCTCATGAAAACCCCTCATTACTCGTGCTTCGTAATAGCCACGCAAGCGCTGTAGTATTATATTCTGCAAGTAACTACTTTTCATGGCACGGCAGATTGGCGTTCTGGATGGAAGTGTGCTTCTTATTGTTTGTGTATTTCGTGCAACGAAAGGTGGGGTTGTTCTTTTTTTATTTTAAGTCAAGCCACTTTCAGTCGAAAGATGGCGACTGAGAGCCTTGTTATCTCAACGAGGGCAGGTGAGCTTTGTCCGACGGTTGTGAACTCCAAAATACGACAACGCATATAACGTGGAGGCCTGATGGGATGAGAGTTACCGATTGGAAGTGGACCATCAGTATGTTCTTCTGATTCCCCTGATGCTTGAAAGAGAGCAGTTGAAAAGAAAGAAATGGAGTACATGCAGTACCAATCGGTATGCTCAGATTTCATCGTGACCCCCGCAGGTAAGACCGAATACTCGAAAACCTTGTCCTTGCATGGCGTTTATTTGCATTGAAACCGTGTTCCTGCGACGAGTAATCTATTATCCGAGCTGCACTTCCTTTAGAGTAGGCTTTCCGACACTGAAAGCGAGATGTGCAAACACTGATTGGGTTTTCAAAGCATGACCAAATATCTCATGCGGACGAACTGAACCCCAACATCTGGTTCGGCTTCCTCTCCCCGGAATCTTGGGCTGTAGGATCTTGAATGAATATCGTCTTGTGAGCATCAAACCATGCTCCCGTAATCTACAGCGGAGCATCCTATTCACCGTGTTCACCGTGTTCACGTGATATTCCTCACGAGCCCGATGTTGATTGACAGGCCAGTGGTCTGTCCAGACATTTCATGGGGTCGCTTGTTGATACGTACACCGGCCCTAGTGTCGTTGACAGTCGTTCCAGCACACCTCCAGGTCCTTCAGCATGACAGTGACCGACATCACGCAATGCGCATGACCTGTCTCATGTCGAGTCAAGCAACCCAAACCATCGACCCAATCAGTCAACCAAGCCCCGAGGAGCGCAACCCATGCCCTGGTCAAGGATTCACGTGGAATTCCACATCCAAGCCAGCTCGCTAGCCTCGTCCTTCTGACGAGCCCCGATGCCTCAAGCGACGGGCAATTCGTAGCTTGTTTGCTTGCCTGCTTGCCTGCCTGCTTGATTGCAGCTCATAGCTGTGTCTCCGTGGAAGTGGCAACATCAACTTTCAAGCCCGCTGGAAGAGACCCAGAAAAAGCACACTGTCTGCCTCAGCTCTCCCATCGTACTCCCTGATCTTCGAATGGGGATTTTATCCCTCTTCTCGAGAGACCTCATCGCCCATGCACAATGTTTGACTCGTCAACACTGACAACGCACTGGTGTACGCTCGAAGCTGCGGAGTGCAGTGTAGGGCAGTCCAGTCCAGTTCCAGTCCAGTGCACAGGAGAGCAACGAGGAGGTTGGGGGCCCCAACGGGGTACGAGAGGAGGAATCGATTCTCTGTGGCCGGCCACAGTTGGAGGATAATGCCGGTGCCAGTGGATCCATTGGCTTCCAATTCTGAGTCAGGCTCGCGGGACTCTAGACTCCACCACCATAAAGAGCACCTCCGCATGGGTTCTGCTCTAGACCATGAGGAGGCGCCCTTTATGAGCCAGCGGAGGGCAGTCATGTGCGCCTGCGCGCAGCCAACCAGAGCCCAGACATTCTGCCAGACTTGGAAAGCCTGCGGCGGACAAAACACTCTCTGTTCCCAGCGCCAATCGCCATCCGAACCCCCTGACACCCGACGACGTCGTCCTCCCCCGACGTCACTCGTCCTCCGTCCACATCATGTGCCGACGGTGTCGTAACGCGACTCTCGCCCTCCTCCATGTCTTCCTTCCTTCGCCCTCATCCTCTCCTCTCCTCTCCTCTCCTCCCCTGCCCGTGCTTCTCCTCGAGTTTTTGGCTCTTGGTTCGTTCGGTAGAGCCTCCTCGTGCCGCATGGGCTTCGGTTTTCTTCAGGTATTTTTCCATCATTTGCAGCAATTCATGTTACGCTTGTACACGGTATCGTGTGCAAGATTGAAGAACCCGAGGGAGGAGTCGAGGCTAGAAAGGAAAATAGAAACTGATTGAGTTGGTAATGAATTCTGTTCAGATAAAAACCTCGAACTTTTGTTGGAGTGATCATGTGATCATTAATCTCGAACTTTTGTGTAAAGGGCATATTGGAGATGATCCAATACTTCGGGTGAAATCACTTTACTTTCGAACTACCGATCGAGTTTGGCTGCAGTAAGTTACAGTCTAGAGTGCTTCTAGAAAATATTTATTTTTACATAAAAGTACACCCGTGTTTTCTGAACCTTATTAAGGGCCGACCAGTTTGTTCGTTTGGTGCCCTCTTGAAGTGAGGTTATGTGCTTTCTCTGTAGGAATGTTTCCCCCTTAAGTTTTGATGGAGTTGACTATCTTCCTAGATAATACCTTTTGAATTGCATTTAGGCTTCTCCCTCGTTAGATACAACAAAAGTCCCTCTTCTTACAATCGAATCCTACATACGGCATATTGAAAGAAGTAACCAACTTTATTATCTCTTCTTACCATCCTTTTCTATATACAGCATATTTGGAAGAGGTAACCAACTCTATTAATCCGGAACTTTCAAAATAGAAAGCTATCGATGTCTTACAGAACCTGTTTATGGATGACGAATTTATTTTCCAACAAATAATAGTTTCGGTAAAAAATATGATGATGTGCCGTTGTAAGATATGAACAGGAAAAATTATCAGAGATGTGTTACACAAAGATTTTATTAACACCAGATAGTCTAGAAAAATTTAACGAAACAAAATCTCCTCCTCTTTCATTATTCCTGGTGAATTTGTGAGATAAAGACAAACCTCTATCCGCTTTGAAGACTAGGTGAACTTAGTGGATAAAGAGGTTATCATAAAAGAAATGTCTTATATATTATCTAGTTTTTGATTTTGAGAATGTATTTTTATACATCAAGGAAAAAGAGAGAAAAAATAAATGGAAATAGATGTTATTAACCATCCACAAATGTTTTTCCATCAACTAAGTTATGTAGTGGCTTGGTTTCTCAATCCACTATAAGTGTGAGTAAGATTGTACATTAAGTGTAGAAGATGTTTGCATAACTCCAAAATCACATGAAGAAAAGAAAATAGCTATTTATGATGTCATTACATATGTGTGGTATAATTTTAGTTTCAACTTATTTTTTCAAGTATCTACATACATTCAAATAACATAGAAATATTGAGAATGAAATCAAGTATGGAGATGCAAAATTGACTAATTATGCATATATTGCATTGTCAAATATCAATACACTTTTTTATCTACTTAAAAAGTTTTAAGTTGTATAATCAATTCATCTATATAGATTTTGTAAGATGGTAATATACCTTCTTCTCTATTTAAAAAGCTCTAATTTCATGTTTGATTCAAAAATACAAAAAATGCAATTGTAACTGTGAAAATAAAAAATAAGAAGAGTATTCACAAACTTTGAAATCAAGAGATCTAATATGGTTTTATATTTTTTTAAATATTATCTAATTGAAAAACAATACAAGATCTTATCTCCATCAACCATGAAAGTACTTGTAACCATCTTTAGTTAGTTAAAACTAAAGTAGAAGTTACTCTAAATGTTGATATTGATACTTTAACGTGCACTAGTCATAGGTGTCACGTCAGTGATTTGTGCGCTTGGTAGATATAGAGCAGTTGTGCTAGTTAATAGCGCCACGTCAACGATCCGTGTGCTTGTTAGGTAAGGATTGAGTGTGTTAGTTGGAAGCGTCATGTCAGCGATCCGTGTGCTTGTTAGGATTATCCGCCACATCATCCATCCACTAGGAGTGCTTGTTAGCGTTATCCGCCAAATCATCCATCCATTAGGAGTGGGATCGATAGTGTAAATAAGATTTTATCTCCTTGTACTTGTTAGAATCAGCTATATAAGGGAGAATAGAACCATTGTTGGTATCTCTTATCTTAAAAGTTTATGTTTCCATGTTCGAGTGAACTTCTCTCTAAACCATAGTGTTACAATAATATTAGAGCAACCTTGTTTTTTCCTTGATTGAGGATTATCCCTCATGGAATGACAAGTGAGTGATGATTGAGTGCAGTTTTGAGAGTGTATAGAGGTTGGCAAAGGTCATTAATCTGCTTGTAGAGAGAGGTGGAAAGGGTAAATTATGGTTTGGTAGATATGAACGGGCTTGACAAGAATCCAAAACCGCATTAACCAATTCCTAATCTATTCGATATTCACCTTCGTTGCATGGAGAAACATCATTTTCGGATGTACCTTGTGGTTTTTTGGGGTGCAGATTTTATGACTAGAATGATGTAGTCGAAAGTGCCACTAATTATTCCAATAAATACTTATGGAGAGACTTGGGATTGTACTATATACATTTTATACTGAATGTTTCATGGATTTGAATCGCGAACCAGTCGTTCTGGTTCGGTTCAACACTTATTGTAACCATCTTTAGTTAGTTAGAACTAAAGTAGAGGTTACTCGGAATATGGTTGTAGATACTTTAGTGTGCACTAGTCATAGCTGCCACATCAGCGATCCGCGCACTTGGTAGGTACAGAGTGGATGTGTTAGTTGACAGTGCCACGTCAGCAATCCGTGTGCTTGTAGGTAAGGATTGAGTGTGTTAGTTAGTGTGTTAGTTGGGTGCGCCACGTCAGCAATCCGTGTGCTTGTTAGGGTTATCCGTCACGTCATCCATCCACTATGAGTGGGATGGATGGGGGGATTAGATCTTATCACCTTGTACTTGTTGGTGAGAGCTATATAAGGGAGAGGAGAACCATTGTTGGTATCTCTCATCTTCAGAGTTTACGTTTCTATCTTCGAGTGAACTTCTCTCTAAACCCTAGTGTTACAATGGTATCAGAGCGACCTTGCTCTTTCCTTGAGTGTGGATTACCCCTCATGGAATAGCAAGTGAGTGATGATGGAGTGTAGTCTTGAGAGTGTATAGAGGCTGGCAGAGGTCATTCATCTGCATGTAGAGAGAGGTGGAAGGGGGAAATTGTGTTTTTGCAGATATGGACGGGATTGACAGGAATCCAGTACCGCACTGGCCAATTCCTAACCTATTCGATATTCACCTTCGTTGCATGGAGAAACATCATTTTCGGATGTACCTTGTGGCTTGTTGGGGTGCAAATTTTATGACTAGAGTGATGGAGTCAAGAGTGCCAGTGATTCTTCCAATAGTTACTTATGGAGAGACTTGGGATTGTACTATATACATTCTATACTGATTGTTTCATGGACTTGAATCGCGAACCACCTGTCCCGGTTCGATTCAGCACTTATGTAGAGATTAGAACAGTATATAGACAGAAGAGGATATGGAGAGATTTTCTTGTGAGGAATTATGGAGAGGAGTACTATAGAGCTATGATAGAGTCACCTGCACCTTTTGTGACTCCTTTGTTGAGAGGTCACATAGTGATTATACTCACTTTGTATTAGAGAGATTGTGAGAAAGCATGGGAACATCAATTGATATGGGTGAGGTTCTTCAATGCAATCATGGCGGAGATGAAGGTTGAGAAAAGCAATAGTAGATGGGCATACCAAGCAGCAAGCCATGGAAGATAAAATCTTCGCATTAGAGAGTGAAAAAGTAGAGAGAGAGAGAGTTGGAGAGATGGAAGTTGAACCTCAAGTTCAAGCTTCCCAAGTTCAGCCAGAACCAACTCCTATTGATGCAGCAGAGGCAAATAGGAGACGTCTTCAAGAGATTGAAGATCAAGCAAATCTTTTGCTTCGAATGGGAAAATCCTGTAAGGTGGAAGCTTACAAAGGGAGTAGAGCAATGGGAGTGTTAGAGGGATGGATTATGAGGATGAATATTCATTTATCCCATTTTCATGTTTTTGATTATATTGCAAGAATGTTCATGAGATCTTATCTTACGGATAAGGCTCTCACATGGTACACAACATGGGAGAGAATGCTTTCAGAACGAGGTGCTACCATTTCGTGGAGTGGAATGCAAGAAGGACTTCTGCAAAATTTTCAAGCGGTGGATTCTTTTCAAACTGCAAGAATGAAGTTGTGGGATCTGAAGCAGAAAGGAGGTATTCATGAGTACATTAAAGAATTTCGTGATCTTCAAGTATATATCATGGATATGAGTGGAGCTGAAGCCTTGGACGTGTTCAAACGAGGCTTGAAAGATCGAATTCGAAAGGAGGTGATGGTAAGCAATCCATCTACTGTGAATGAAGCAATCGCAATTGCTCAACGAATTTCAGGTGCTTTTGGTGTCACACACGGTGAACCAGTGAGCAATTTTAGAGATCAATCTGGTCCAACACCGATGGAGTTGGGAAACCTTCGACGTAGAGAAGGTTTTGCACCAACAAGAGGACCACCACCAAGATTTGGAGGTGAGATTAGGCGACCAGGAGTTCCAAATTTGCAAGAAGGTTATGCAAATAATGGAATGGTTCGAGGAGGAGCTGGAGTTCGTGACAATCGCCAATGCTATGCATGTGGACGAATGGGTCACATAGCCAAGTTTTGTCGAGTTCGGCCGACATAACAAGGAGGACGGCCCATGTAGCGACGACCGTTCAACAATATGGAGGGGATAGAGTATGAAGAGGTGGAGGAAGCAGTTTCGGGAAACGAAGATCACCAGTAATCTTGCCTCGCGGCCTTACTGGTTCTACAAAGCGAAGAAAAGGCGAGGTTGGAAGAAGGCAATGGTTGGGAGCTCATGGAAGGAGTAAGAAGCAAGCTCAACTCATTGTCACTGATGGTTTCATGGAAGGACACAAGGTGAGAGTTTTAATTGATCTTGGAGCAACTGAGAATTTTCTATCAAGAAGTGTTGCTATGAAGTTAGGTTTGATGTTGATGAAGGACGTGAGTGAAGAAGTTGAATTGCCAAACGGGCAAACTGAAGTGATAGAAACACTTCCACGGAGTGTAGAATTATCCATCGGTAGATACAAGGAGAGCATTGAATGGAGAGTAATTCGTTTAGCTCGATATGATGTCATCCTTGGAATGCCATGGATGGAACAATATAATCCGAAGGTAGATTGGAGAAGAAAAGTGATTACAAGTAGTGGATGGAAGATCTATGGAGATAGAATTAGATCTCAGAATAGGAATTTACCCCTCTTTGTGATGGGTACAGCATCCATTTCTAGAGATGATGTATGTTTTCTTGAACTTATAAGAGATATTGGGTCCATGGACAAACCTTACATCCCGGAGTCCTTGAACGACATTTTTATGGAGTATAAAGATGTTTTTCCAGATGAT